CTTTGGTGCTTCAAATTTGTCCAATTCCACCGAGAATGGTGTTCTTGGCTTAACTGGGGAAGTCACCTCGGCTTCAACATTCTGCTGCCTCCTTTTGAGGTAATCCCTCAAGTCTTCTTTACTCCTACCTGGAGCTCGGCTATCTCTGGACTTCAATCTTTTTGGCACACTACTTTCGGCCTCGTGGTGGGCCCGTTTCGATCGTTCTCCATGGGTTGTGTCAAAGCAGAGTGCCTGCCCTTGAACATGCCGATGTTCTTTGGGCCCTGGATCCTTCATTCGATGTGTCCTTCGGGACTCTTCTTGCCTCAGCTCCTCTCGTCCGACTTCCCTGGAAGGTCGGTGTGAGTGCCTTCCACTCCTGGTGTGCTGAGGGGCTTCGGGAATTGCTTTCTTTCCTCCATTCTGGGTGTTAATTGCTGGCATCGGCGTATCTTGTAGCGGGTATGGTGGCTGCATAACATTGTTTTGCATCATGAAGTTGACCACTGACTGTAGGTCTGCCAACTTGTTTGCCAAGTCTTTTACTTCCTCATCTCTTCGTAGGCACCTATCCCTCCATACCTGAAGGTTATCTTCATTATAATACTTGCTTTGGTCTGTTCGCTTCGAAGTACCGCCCTCCTGGCCGACGTCTTTCTCTCCGTGACCCTGGTCATGATTTTCTGTAGTGTGGTTGTCTCCTTCAACGTCAAGATCAATTGGTCTGCCACTCTTAGCAGGAGTGTCGCCCCCAATGTTTTCCCTCTGTCTGTCACTGGCCATCTATTCTTCTAAGATTCCCACAGACGGCGCCAAATTGTGTGGGTAATTTTCTGACCACACTGCCCGCCTAGTAATCAGCTGGAGAGCACTGGCAGAATAGATGGCTTCAGCAAACCTGTAACAGAAAGAAAAGGCTCCGGCAGTGGCTCTTCCACCCGGGGGCCCTCCGACGATCAAGTCAGTATATCTCTCAAAGAGAATCAAGTGCTAAACTCACAAGCTTGAGTATAAAACTGCGTACCTTAGACCCACGGGGGTGCCTCTCTTTTATAGTTTACTCAACCCAAGTCCCACTAGAAGTCCGACTTCTATGGACTCCAATTCAATGTCAACTTTGGACTCTTCAAGAGATAAAGATAAACTCCCTAAGAGTTTTATCCTTATCTTAGCAAAGTCTTCTCTTTTATCTAGGATTCTTGCCCCTTATCCATTTATCCGCCTATCTCGGATTCCGATATCTTCGGAGATCACCTCGGCCTCGTCAAAGATAACCTCGGCATAACTACCAAGACACGTGGCACCTCGGCTGATACGTCGACGTCACCATGCCACGTGTTGGTATTCAGAAAATACATCCCCACAGAAACATTAAATCTTGGATTTGTTTTATCAAAATTCTAGTTGTATCTAAATTCAATTGGGTCTCCACAAATATAATATATAAAAATATATTATACCTAAACCAAACCAAATTAGAATTCTTTTAACAAACCAATTGGGTCTCAAACTCCAATAAGGAGGTATACCCAACAATTCTCCCTCTACCGACTTAGGTGGAGAGATCAACCATACCCGCCAAAGTTTGACACTTTAAATATTTGCCCCTCGACAAAGTCTTAGTCAACATATCCGAAATATTATCATCTGTGTGAGCCTTTTCGAGTTGCAACAAATTCGAATCTAACACATCACGAATCCAATGGTATCTCACATCAATGTGTTTCGATCTCGCATGAAAAGTAGAATTTTTACTCAAGTGAATAGCACTTTGACTATCACAATAGAGCACATATTTTTCTTGCTTCAAACCCAACTCTTGCAAAAATTTCTTCAACCATAACTCTTCTTTGCAAGCTTCTGTAATGGCAATAAATTCAGCTTCGGTAGTTGAGAGAGCAACATATTTTTGTAATTTAGATTGCCATGCCACAGCTCCCCCTACAAAAGTCATCAAATACCCCGAAGTAGATTTCCTAGAATCAATATCACTTGCCATGTCAGAATCCGTGAACCCATCAAGCATCAACTTACTATCCCCAAAACACAAACACACCTTTGAAGTCCCTCGAAGATATCTTAGAATCCATTTTAACGCTGCCCAATGTTCTTTACCCGGATTAGAGAGAAACCGACTCACCACACTAACGGTGTGAGCAATATCCGGCCTTGTACAAACCATGGCGTACATCAAAGAACCAACTGTTGAAGCATAAGGAACTTTCAACATCTCTTCTTTGCCTTTCTCACTTGTAGGACATTGATTCGAACTAAGCTTGAAGTGACCCGCAAGTGGACAACCAACCGGCTTTGCTTTATTCATGTTGAACCTCTCAAGAACTTTCTCAATATAGCTTTCTTGAGACAACCAAATCAGCCCCTCTTTGCGATCATGAATAATTTTCATACCATGTATTTGCTTTGCCGGTCCCAAATCTTCCATACCAAAAGACTTGCTCAACTCCAATTTTAACCTGTTAATCATAGTGTAATCTTAACCCACAATTAACATGTCATCAACATAAAGCAAAAGAATAATAAATTTGCCATCCGGGAAATTTTTCACAAACACACAATGGTCCGAAGTGGTTTTAGAAAAACCATTATTCATCATGAAAGAGTCAAATTTTTTGTACCATTGCCGCGGGGATTGTTTGAGGCCATACAAACTTTTCTTCGATTTGCAAACAAATTTCTCTTTCCCTTTTTCTACAAAACCTTCTGGTTGCTCCATGTAAATTTCTTCTTCAAGATCACCATGAAGAAATGCGGCCTTCACATCAAGTTGTTCAACTTCAAGGTTCATATTTGCAGCCATGCCAAGTACAACCTGAATAGAAGACATTTTTACAACTGGTGAGAAAATCTCGTCAAAGTCAATACCTTTCTTTTGCCCAAAGCATTTCATAACAAGACGTGCCTTGTACCTCAGATTCTTGCCATCATTTTTCAATTTGAAAACCCACTTATTTTTCAGAATTTTCCTCCCTTTAGGCAACTTCACTAAATCAGAAGTCTGGTTTTCAAGCAAGGAATTCATCTCCTCGTCCATGGCCTTTTTCCAATCACCTTTCTTTGCATTCTCAATTGCTTCTTGGTAGCTCTCAGGCTTCCCTTGATCAGAAATCAACACAAATTCATTGGGAGGATACTTTCTTGAAGGTTGTCGGTCCCTTGTAGATTTCCTCAACTCAAGTTGTCGTGGCGGTTCTTGAGTTGGATGCTCTTCCTCAATTTCTGGCTCAACTTCATTAGGATTAGCATCATCCTCTACATCTTCAATAGGTAGCTGCACATCTCCCCCATTTTCATCATCCACCAAAGATGAAGGAGATGGATCTATGTCAATGAGATCACTAGTTTTTTACTCTGGTTGATCACCTTTGCCAAAGTCTTCAATTGTTTGGTCTTCAAGAAACACAACATCACGGCTTCGAATGACTTTCTTATCGACCGGATCCCACAATCTATACCCAAAGTCATCACGCCCATAGCCAAGAAAAATACATTGTCTTGACTTACTATCAAGCTTGGACCTCTCATCCTTTGGAATGTGAACAAAAGCTCGGCAACCAAACACTCTCAAGTGTTCATAAGACACGTCTTTATCGGTCCAAACTCTTTCTGGAACATCACCATTCAAAGGATAGGAAAGAGACAAATTGATCACGTCATACGCTGTCTTCATAGCCTCACCCCAAAAGGATCTTGGCAATTTAGCTTATGAAAGCAAACACCTTGTTCTTTCCACAATGGTGCGGTTCATCCTCTCGGCAATGCCATTTTGTTGAGGAGTCTTCTAAACTGTCTTTTGGTGCCGAATACCTTGGCTGTGACAATACTCAAATGTATTCGCCACCATTGTCTGATCGGATGCACTTCAATTTCTGCCCTGTTTCTCTTTCAACCATGGCCTGAAAATGCTTAAATACTTCTAGAACTTGATCTTTAGTTTTTAGTAAAAAAGCCTAAACTTTCCTTGAATAATCATCAATGAAAGTAATGAAATAAAGTGCACCACTATGTGTTCTAACTTTCAAAGGACCACAAACATCTGAATGAATCAACTCCAAAACACTTTCTTTTCTAGAAGCGACATTTTTCTGAAAAGAAACTATGTTGTTTACCCACCAAACAATGAACACAAGTTTTAAGATATGTACCTTTGAAACCGGGTAGAAGCTCTTTCTTGAACAAAACTTGCAGCCCCTTTTCACTCATGTGGCCAAGCCGTTTGTGCCGCAATTCGGTAGAAGTATCATCTCCAAGTGCATTGACAACACCTTTACAAATTTTTCCTTGCATCGAATAAAGTGTATGAGTCTTCTTGCACTTAGCCACCACCAAAGAACTCTTTGTGAGCATCCATATTCCATCACCAAAATTGTTGTTGAAGCCTTCGTCATCTAGCTTCCCAGTAGAGATCAAATTGAGGCAAATGTCAGGAACATGCCTCACATCTTTAAGCAACAACTTACAGCCCAAAATTTGTTTCCAAGCAAACATCACACATGCCAATAATCTTGGACAAACCTTCATTGCCCATTCGAACAGAACCATAATCTCCTTTGGTGTAGGTAGTGAAGAAATCAACTCGAGAAATCACATGAAAAGAAGCACCGGAATCAATCACCCAATTGCTCTCTTGGCCCACAAAATTGATACAATCATCTTCACAAACGACCATGAGATGATCGATAGTAACTGCCGTTGTGTCTTCTTGCTTCTTGTCCACACTTTTGTCACGCATTTTCTCCTTATTCTTGAGCTTTCGGCATTCTCATTTCATGTGCCCTTTCTCATGGCAATAATAGCACTCAATGTCTTTCTTTGAAAAAGAACCATCTTTTGATTTGTCACGGCTTTGATCACGACCATGAGGAGTCTTACTCCTCCCCCTTGTTTTGCTTCGGCCTCTCACAACGAATGCTTCCGAATGAGAGGAACCCGCTGATTTTCTTCTAGTTTCTTCATTCAACAGGCTACTAGTGACTTGGCCCATTGTAACAAGACTGTGCTGCTTATTTACTATGATAGTATGATTATGCCAAGTTTTGGTAGTGTTATCTTGTGCAGGGACCTGCCTTTTCAGATATATCAAAAGCAGTGCAATCTGAACATGTTCCTTCAATATGTTTGTTAGTTGCATCAATTGAATTCAGAGGTCTACAGGCCTATGGCGACTTCAAGAGGTAATAGTAATGAAGTTTGTGAGATTATAGTTTTTCCTTTACTATATAACATTCAACTGTGGTGAGATTTGTGATTGGGAGGGCTGCATTGGAAAACTAAATCATATACTATATTGTTTTGGGGCCACCTATGTAGTTTTTGGAGGTTTCCTCAAATGCAACTGGGAAAAGCCATCTTATCCTTTTGTTCCTGTCCTCAAAACAACCATCTTATCCTTTTGTTCGCTTAAGTTTGATTCTTATCTTCTTTTTGTTTCTTTTGTTTGTATCAGGTTTTAAGACATTACAAATGGCTAGAATATTTGGAAACTGATTTTGTTTTCGGTAAGTGTTTTCTTGTATAATACTAGACTCTTCTAAAGAAATTTGAAATATATTTCTCAGTTTACTTATCTGTTCTATTGTCAAGGTTCATCTTCAATTGGGTCGGTCACTGCACAGTTTTTGGCTGTATTTTTCAGCAGCATCTGGAAAGACATCAGTGCAGTTCTCTGAGTCTGAGGAGTCTGATCCAGATGTAAGAAACTTTTACTATTTTCAGTATGAAGTTTGTGAGATTATAGTTTTTCCTTTACTATATAACATTCAACTGTGGTGAGATTTGTGATTGGGAGGGCTGCATTGGAAAACTATATATTGTCTTGTTTTGGGGCCATTTATGTAATTTATGGAGGAGTCCTTAAATGCAACTGGGAGAACGTGGAACATTTAGATCCTAGGGGACCATGGCCCTCCATGCTCCCACATCTCTTGTACACAGTTTTTAATGTGTTAGTTAAGTGTTAATTCAACACTTTGTTGTTGGAAGTTTTGGATTTGCATATATTTACATGTTTATGATTGCACAACTCATTTTATGTTTTAAAAATTGTTAATAAAATATAGATTAGTTTGTAAAACTTCTCTTATTTATTTATTTATGTTTTTTTTCTGTTTAGCAAAAGGGTATTTGTTACACGGTCTTGGGTAAAACTCAAACTAAAAACTAGCTATTGAGGTGAGAGTGACCTCACACTTATATACTTCACATTACTATAGTACCCAAGCAATAGGGGACTTCGCTTCACAATATTAAGATTTCTCTTATTTTTAACATTAAAGTTTCCATTAGATTTTTACATGTCTCTTCATGGTAAGTAATGTGAAAATGTGCTATGAAATTACTTGAGCAAGCAAAAGCACCTTAAATTGGTGACTACTTAAGTTTAATATTCTTAACTAAGAAGGAAAAAATGGAAGTGCTAAATATTGGGATTATGGATTAGAGGTTAGCAAAAGTTCAATCTGAATCTTGTTGAAGCTACCAGTTCTCCTTCAAAAAATCCAATCTGATTAGTATGTATTTGTTCCTGTCCTCGAAACAGTCATCTTGTACTTTTGTTCCCTTAAGTTTGACATTTATCTTCTTTTTGTTTCTTTTGTTTGTATCAGGTTTTAAGTCGCTACAAATGGCTAGAATATTTGGAAACTGATTTTGTTTTCAGTGAGTGTTTTCTTGTATAATCTTGGACTCTTTTCCAGAAATTTGAAATATATTTCTCAGTTTACTTATCTGTTCTATTGTCAAGGTTCATCTTCAATTGGGTCGGTCACTGCACAGTTTTTGGCTGTATTTTTCAGCAGCATCTGGAAAGACATCAGTGCAGTTCTCTGAGTCTGAGGAGTCTGATCCAGATGTAAGAAACTTTTACTATTTGCAGTTCGTGTAGCATGAGTCAAAATCTGAAATACTATAATCTTTGGATTTAGTAGTTCATTCATTCATTATTGGTGTTTACAGTGGGGCTGCTGGAGTGCAAGTCAAGAGATAAGAAACCCATCCATTAAAATCATTTTTCCCACAATTGAAAGAATGAAAAATGCAAGTTGTGGAATCTTAGCTTCAAAATACCTTCTGTGTTTCTCGCAGGTATCCTGACCTTTTGATTACCTGGAAGATAGTCTAGTGGCTTTTAACTGGATCCTATGTATTATTTTGCTTTGTTTGTTTGTTTGTTTGTTGTTTTTCTTCTTAAAAAAAAAAAAAATTTGTTCGTGATTTTTTTATTTCATCAAGGTATGGGATAATAGTATAGGTGTGCAACTAAGTCCCTCACAGCCCTATTGAGATTTATGAGAAATATCTCATGTCATTGGTTGTGTCATAGAGTATGACGGTGGATTGAATACATTAATTTTATGTATTGATTGATTGTGTATAGAACCTTTGTGTTTATATGCATTGTGTGTAGAGGAGGAGATGGGGGATGTACTCCGCGGTTTAGGGGAAGATGGGGGATGAACCTCTAAATCGGATAGTGTTGGGAGGAGATGGGGGATGAACTCCGTAGATACAGCTCATATGGTTGTCTAGAGAAGTGAAGATACAGCTCATAGGCTTATCTTTGGGAAGTGTAGATACAACTCATATGCTTGTCTAGTGAAGTGTGGATACAGCTAATATGTTTATCTGTTGATGTGTTGATATAGTTAATATGCTTATCTATTAAATAAAGGTAGAGAATGAAAAGTGACATAGACTTGTATGCTATGAAATTGTGGTGTGATATATGTGGATGTATCAGTGTTGGCCACCTATCAATTGTAATCTTTTAGTCATTGTTCATAGTTGGTTTAGTATATTTTTTCTGGGCTGTGGCTCACCCTATATGGGAACATCATTTTCAGGTACAGGTAGCATGCCACCTCCAAGGACATAGCTTGGGAGGCTAGAGGCGGACAGACTTTTGTTGTCTTATTTCTTTTGATGTATTACATGTAAATTCAAGCCAAGGGCTTAATGTGTAATTGAGTTAGTACTCTCTTTTTGTAACCAAGTGTTAACTTGGAAAGCTGTAAGCCCGTAGGGCATTTGCTTTTGTTGTTAACATGTAATACTTTTGTAATGAAATACTCTGATGAATCGAAGAATGTGGATCTTTTATATATAAATGCATGTTTATATTGATGGGTTTAATGTTATTATTTTGAGGGCGTTACAACTTGGTATCAAAGCGTACCGGGTTCTAATACTTTGGGTACGTGGGAAGTAATTAGGATCACAATGGGTTTGTCTCGCTTGATAGAGACTTAGATGTAGTGTCATATGCTATGTGTTTAAATGATAACATGCTTATGTGACTATGTGGGTATGGGATTTAGTTTCTAGGATGTTGATTGGATCCTTGGGTTTCTGTGAGTCTTGTTGGAAAGGCACTTGATCAATGCTGTTTCTAACTGGAACTCTAGTAATGCCTCAGGACTATCATTATCCGGAAATGAAATTCGTAAGTGCTTATGTGTTTATGTGCTTACGTGGAATGAATTCCAGTTGTCCATGCATTAGGACGCGAGTGTTATAGCTTCGGCACATTTGTGAATGTGCTAATAGTCTTGGTTACCTTTATTAGAATTTCAGGACGAGGGCGTGGTAGGCGTGGCAGGCGTGGTAGGCAGGAGGTACCTCTACCGGATGACGTTCCGGCAGTGCAGGAGGGAGTTAGTCAGGCTAACGTGGCCAAACCAGCGGGTCAGCAGGCTATGGGTGCCTTGGCCCGAGAGATCGCGGGAGCTTTGGGTATTCTCAGAGCTGAGAATCAGGTTGCTGAGGCAGGGCCTTCTTTCTTGAAGAGGGAATTCTTCCGGTCTAACCCGGACGAGTTTGTTGGGGATCCGAAGGAGCCACTTAAGGCTGACGATTGGTTGTAACAGATGGAGAAGACGTTCGAGATGCTGGGCATCGAGGACGGGGATTTGAAGGTGACCCTGGCATCCTTCCAGCTGAAGGGAGATACGGGTCAATGGTGGAAGTATGAGAAGGGCAGTGTTGGTGGTGCATGGGAGGCGTTTGTGAATGCTTTCCAGGAGAAGTTTTTATCTTCAGCTGCAAGGGAGAAGCTGAGGGAACAGTTTTGCCAGCTTAAACAGCAGGGCTTGTCAGTGGCCGAGTTTGAGGCTACTTTTACTAGTCTGTCCAGGTTTGCACCTGAATTGGTGGCGTCCGAGGAACGTCGTTGTTTTGAGTTTGAGCGGAAGTTGAGGCGAGGCCTCAAGTTGAGGGTTGGTGGATCTTTCATCCAAGAGTATAGGCGTTTGGTGGATGCTGGAGCTCATATGGAAATTATGATGCAGGAAGAGGAGGAAGGGCAGAGAGGTTCTAAGAGGAGCCAAAATGGTCAGGGTGATGGTAGGAGACAGAGGGGTCCTAACCCTCAGCAGTCTTAGGGTGGTTTGGCTAGGTCGACCTTTCCAGTGCCGATTGCAGGCTCCGGGAGAGGTAGTCAGGGGGATTTCACCTGTTACAAGTGTGGCCAGCTGGGTCACAAGGTTTCGGTTTGCCCGCAGAAGGGAGGGGGTCAGCGAGCTGCTTCTTCATCAGCTAGACCTCAGGGCCAGAGTCAGGGCAGGGGCCAGTCCTTGTCTTACTATCAGTGTGGTCAGCCCGGGCACCTAAAGAGGTTTTGCCCGCAGTTGAGTGCCACTTCGGGAGCGTCTGGTTCTAGGCAGACGCAGAGTTTTCAGCCAGCTCAGTCTGCGCAGGCCTCGAGGGCCAATCCGGGAGCTTCGTCATCCCAGTCTGTGTAACAGTCTTTTGCTCTTAGAGGTGAGCAGCTGGATCAGGGGCCTACAGGGCTTGTGTATGATGTTACCGCGCAGGATCTAGTACTGGCTCCATCAGTAGTGAGAGGTACTTTTCTGTTTTGCAACTCGGTTGCTAGTGTGTTGATTGATACGGGTGCTGTAACAACCCACATTTATGTCTTAGTCATGTTCATGAACATTGGCATAATTATGACTCGTTAAGCTTGTATTTGCATGTTTATGACTTGTTTTGCCTAGGTAAGATCCATGCCTTGTTTTGATGTCTATGCAACTTGCCTAAGTGTTGTGTGCATGCTTGTTTCCTTCCTTGGTGTCTCAAGCCTAGGTTATGTTAAGCCGAAGTCATGCCAAGCCTAGGTTACGTTACGCCTAGATCATTCCAAGCCGAGGTCATCCACAGTCTAGAAGTATCTTGGAACCCCTTTGTTTGACCTCCCCTTTCGCCTTGACATATTGGCCGAGATGTCATTATCTAGGCCGAGGTGTTCATCACCAAGGCCGAGATGTGTATTATCTAGGCCGAGATGTCACTTTTGCACCCAAGTGATCTTGTCCTGGAGTGGTATGACCTAGACCGAGGTGTGGCACATCTAGGCCAAGGTGTGGCACAGCTTAGTTCCTAGCCGAGGTCATTGTCACCTTAGTTGCCGAAGCTTTGTCCTTAGCCGACGTCATCACTTGCCGGAGTGCTATTCCAAGTAGCTTGTTAGATACGCTTTGTCATAGCCTTGTCTTGTCAATCCATCACCTTTTTGAAGAGAGCCAACCAGCCGTCGCAACGTGTCCGAGCTGAGAGTTAAGTCAACCGATAGAGAGAGAAACCTACCATTTGTTGTATCTTTGTTTTAAAGAGTAAAGAGAGAAGCTCTAGAGAGGAAGAAGAGTTCTTGAGGGAGAGTGGATTTCTAAGCTTGATTCCTAGAGATCGAACCGTTAGATCCGTGTTCTGAGGTTAGATTCTTGATCTGCTCTTATCGTTCTTTATGTTTATGTTATTGCATTGCATGATTGAATATGATTTGTAAGCCACGTATTGTTTTGAAGTTCGGTTTTAGAAAGAGAAAATGGCATTCATGTGTTCTTCAAGAAAAGCTGTGTTTTGATCCGAAACCTCATGCCAAGACCCATGTTTTTGTGTTTGTTTTCACATGATTTTCAAGCATGGGTACCTAGGTCCATGTTTTCGAACTCATAGCATGAAATCCCAGATTTTTGTAAGAAAGAAGTTATGATTTTAGCATTCATGTTCTTCATGATCTTCATGTTCATGTTCTTCCTATTCTTCACTGGTGGAAACCCAGATCTCCAGACCTCACTTCTCGAGGTGTAGTCGCCGAGATCACTCTCATCTAGACCTTACACTTAGGCCAAGCATCGTATCTCACCTTGGCCTACCTTGCATGATCACTTACGCCTCTAGTTGTCTTGTGCGCACCTCGGCATGTAGCCGCACGCCGAAGCCTAGGTAGCCACACCTCGACCAGGAGGTGTGGGACCTCGGCAAGGACCTGGTTGGTACCCAGCATGTCTTCCTGACATGTAAAACAGTGTTTTGACTACCAACATGTTTTTCCGAGATCATTTGCATACATGTGAGACCTGTTTTGAGAAGTATGTTCAGTATGCTTTGCCATGTGTTTGTAGGACTTGGACCTTTGCCTTGACCCCGACATCCCAAGAACTAATGTGAGTGGTATTTCTAATAAAGTTATGTTATAACGTTTTGATAAAGCTTTGACTTGTTTTGATAAAAGTATTTGTTAAGCATGAATGATATCCCTATTTTATGTATCAAGTATAAACTCTGTTTTGGACGGCAATGTATCAAGTAAGCTTTGTTTGGATGACAATCTTTGAAAGTCCGTACATGCTAGGGGACTTTAAGCATTAGTAGCACATATGTGAAGTCCGTACGTGCCAGGGGACTTTAAGCAATTGTGGCACAAGTCCGTACGTGCTAGGGGACTTTAAGCATTAGTAGCACATATGTAAATTTCGTACGTGCCAGGGGACTTTAAGCAATTGTGGCACAAGTCCATACGTGCTAGGGGACTTTAAGCATTAGTAGCACATATGTGAAGTCCGTACGTGCCAGGGGACTTTAAGAAATTGTGGCACAAGTCCGTACATGCTAAGGGACTATAAGCATTAGTAGCACACATGTTAAGTATGTAAGTTTTGAAAGACCAGATTTGATTGATGAACTTGATTCATCTCATGCTTTGTACAAGCTATGATAAGTATGGTTTTGTCAAAGATATATTATGTAATGTTTTGAAAGACCTTGGGAATCGTTCATTTAACCCCTTTATTACTTATACCATTCACTGAGTATCCAAGCTCACCCTCCCTATGTATGTATGTAGGTAACAAGCAAGAAGTCGGCTACGCCGAGATGTGTGTCTTGTATGCATGTTATGTCGGCAGTGAGGATGTCGGCAATCTTGAAGCTTTTGTGTTTGAACATGTCGGCTTGAGAAGCCCTTTGTTAAGATGTAATATGTATTTTT